CGGTACCGGCCGGTTTGTATTGTCTAATGACAAAAAAGCTGTGAATGTTGTATATAAAGACATTCTGTAGTATATTTAGTACGTTCAGGGGGTATCTTTTGAAGATTTCCCCTTTTTGATAATAATGTAAACAAAATAAAAATATATTTAGTATCAGCATTGCACCCGTGCGAAGCTGGGGCGGGTCACTAGTTAATGTATAAAAAGCACTTGCAAACGCTGGCTGAATCCTACGAGATAGATCAAAATAATGTATGGCTTATTTAGGAAGCGATTTTAAGCAATACAGCATTGATCTTTATCCAATTAAGTACCTTAAATACATTGTGCATTTAATACAGATCAATATGGCCCTTTACATCATGTAATTTAAATGAATATTTTCGAAGATATTACAGATTTAAAATGCAGGGACATAGAGGTCGCGGCGATACCGNAAAAATCTGCTGCATTAAAAAAAAAATCTTTTTAATTTTACCAGATAAAACTCTTGCTATTAAATAGCAAATGGTGTGCCATAGTAGTATTACGTAATATTTAAGGACGTTTGGTTTTCTGCAAAATGGGTTTTCTCTTGTGGTATTTCTTAATACTTTCACAGAATAGTTGTAAACTATTATTGGCTCCAGGCCAATTCTTAGGTGACTCCGTGTCCGTGATGATTCCGGAGATCACGAAGATTGCAGAATGTTGTTGCATATTTATGTGTACCTATGCCGCATCGGCACCGCAGAATATGCATCAGATGCATCAACATCAGCTATTTCGAGGCGGAATTTAGTCGTGCGGCAATAATTAGATGGTATAAGCTCTGTAATACCTACTAAATATTCGATTTTAAGTAACTCGATTAGTGGACATGAGGATTCAGTCGAAACACGAGACAATAATTTTAGAAAAAAGAGAAACTGTATATAAATCTCTACGAACAATTCTAATACGNTTATCAGAACATGAGAAGTATACTTATTTATTAATTAATATTTATGTTGTCCCCTTCAAAGTAATCCCCACCAGATATTATGCACTTGTGCTAACGTTTTTTCCAATCCTCGAAATACTTCAAAAAATCATTTTTTGTGATCTTGTTCAGCTCCTCCTTCGGTGCCGTCTTTATCTCCTCAATCGTAGCGTAGCGTCGTCCTTTCATTGACCTCTTCAGTTTTGGGAACAAAAAAAAAGTCACAGGGTGTCAAATCTGGGGAATACGGTAGCTGCGGCATTATTAGTGTGTTGTTTTTGGCCAAAAATTCGCACACAAGCAACGATGTGTGAGCAGGGGCGTTATCGTAGTAGAAAACCCAATTTTTGTTTTTCTACAAATCCGGGCGTTTCTGGCGGATTGCTTCACGCAAGTTGCGCATAACTTACAGGCAATATTCCTTATTGATCGTTCTACCTTGTGGTAAAAACTCATGAAGCACCACACCCCTGCAATCGAAAAAAACCGTAAGTGAAACCTTCACATTCGACCTAACTTGACGCGCTTTTTTCGTTTTTGGCTTGTGCGGCAGCTTCCATTGGAATGATTGAGCTTTGGTTTCTACGTCATAACCATAAACCCATGGTCCGTCACCAGTTATAACCCTCTGGAACAAATTTGGGTTGTCGCGGACAGCAACTCCTTAGCAATGTTAATACGATGCTGTTTTTGGTCAAAATTGAGCAATTTAGGTACGAATTTCGCGGCTACCATGCCCAAATTATTGGTAAAAACCGGATGGAAGGAGCCAATTTATATGTGTAAGTCTTCAGCAACTTCTCTAACGGAGATTCGACGACTGGCCAATGCTATTTTCTTCACTTCATCCATGTTTTCGTCTGTTGTTGACGTGCTCGGGCGTTCGGCACGCTCTTTGTTGCTCACTTCTCGGGGACGTTTGGTTTTCTGCAAAATGGGTTTTCTCTTGTGGTATTTCTTAATACTTTCACAGAATAGTTGTAAACTATTATTGGCTCCAGGCCAATTCTTAGGTGACTGCGTGTCCGTGATGATTCCGGAGATCACGAAGATTGCAGAATGTTGTTGCATATTTATGTGTACCTATGCCGCATCGGCACCGCAGAATATGCATCAGATGCATCAACATCAGCTATTTCGAGGCGGAATTTAGTCGGCGGCAATAATTAGATGGTATAAGCTCTGTAATACCTACTAAATATTCGATTTTAAGTAACTCGATTAGTGGACATGAGGATTCAGTCGAAACACGAGACAATAATTTTAGAAAAAAGAGAAACTGTATATAAATCTCTACGAACAATTCTAATACGTAGTAGATGCTCAAGAAAGTAAAAAAATAATTGACGAATTATAAATACTTTTAAACGGAAAATTAATGGTGATGACATGGAAAGTCTTCACAAAATATTCTAGGTAAACAGTGGACTATGACATAAAAAAAAAATGAATCAGAAAATTATAAAACTAGTTTTTATGAAGAATTCTAGGTGGTGGATACTCGAGGTGCGGCAGAGACCCTGGACCGTAACAGAAAAGTGAATGTATAATTTTCTACGAAAATTCAGGGTAATGGATAATGGTTAGATTA